GGCCAGCCTGCAATAAACTGCCCTCCCTCTCCAGGAGAAATAGCAGCACTACAGAAATTGCAATTAAATTACATCCACTAATTAGCATCAAAGTTAGAAACGGGTGTGCCTTGTTATAGAGTGTTGAATTTTAAATACATATTTGTTAATTCACTGGATCATGTCTCATGACTGATTTTTTTCCTTGCATTTTTCTTGAAGAATCTACAAGCAGAGTTAAAGAACATGTCACAAGAAAGAGACGAGCTTAGGAGTGAAGCGAAATCGTTCGAAAACCAACTGAATGCAGTGGCAGTAGAAAAAGCTGCTCTTTACAAGGATTTTCAATCTGTGATGGATCAGTTGTCAGAGCTGAAAGAGAATCTTCAAGTGGAACAGAAGGAAAAAGAGGTTAGTATGGAATTACTGAAGTAGTTAGGAAACTTGGAAAAGTTCTTTGTTGTATGTTTTTGTTGGCTATTTTGTGGGTTGATCCTGGCCTGCACAAAACCTGGCAAAATACAAAGAGTGGTTATGTGTGCTCATACAACTAACCAATAGAAGCATTGCGATTATGTGATTCATGCATAGGCAATGAGTATAAAACAAAATATGTGCAGGGTCAAGGACCTTCCAGCATAAACCTTAGTCTGTTTGTTTGCTTCTCTGATGTTTAACGGCCTTCCTAACCATTATCCTCTATTAACTATGTGCTGACAAAATGTGTATGCACTGTACCACTGAAAAAAGAAAACAAAATGGTGCTTTCTACAAAGAAATTGACAGTACAATAAATTATAGCTTAACTGTCCACAAGGTGGGCAGACTGTCTTCAGGGAGCGGAGGCTACAGGTGGGTGTTATATTAAGAGGGATATTGTACCTGGGTACCATGGACAGGGGAATATCTATTGGGGGTTATCAACACAGGGACTATGCTAAGGGGAACTATATCCCAGGGGGCTATATGTAGGTGATCTATATTAAAGGGAAAAATCTAAGGACTGACTGCTTATCAAGGGATCAGCAAAAGGGTGACTGTCTACAGTAGGGAGGGGTCCCGTCAACAAGGGAATATGTATGTGGTACTATCAACATGCGGATTAACAACACAAGGGCTACCTACCGCTGTTGCATTCTGGGATAATATAAAAATGGGTTATTGACCACCAAGGTTGTTCGGTCAAGATGGCTGGATAGTGGCGTCGTTCTTTTTTTTGCGTGTTTATGGACCAAGTACGGATTTGATGTCCATTAACACTCAAAATAAGAACGAGGCCAATATCCAGCCATCTTGACCGAAGAAGCTTGGTCAATAAAGGATTTATTAATATGGCTTCTGCTTCGGCTTCTGGAAAATTTTTCTTGCGAGACACGACGCGTAATCCTGAGCGGACAAGATAGCGCCATCTTGCCCGCTGGGATAGCCAATCACAGCGTAGGATTGGGTTCGTCTTGTCCGCTCACGGAGTTAGCCATATTGTATTCCAAACCCGCGTGAGCAAATCAAGCGACGACAGTGCAGGATGCTTGCAATCATAGAAGGCAACCGTGTTTGTCTGTTTTTTTTTTTTCGTGCAGGAATTAAACCACAGATTGGATGACGTCACTCAAGAAAAGAGTAATTTGCTCAGCAAAGTCTCGAGTTTGGATGAGAGTATTTCATCAGCTGATCAAGATAGAAAAATATTGGAAGATAAGATGAATGCGCTTACAGAGGGAAAGGATGAAGTTGAAAAGAAACTGGCGTCGGTGACGAAGAGTTTAGAAACAGAAAAGCAGGTTTGTCGTGTTAGGAATTTGAGTGTCGGCTCGTTGACTCTGGGGATGAAGTCGATGTGGTCTTTCTCTTTTTAGAAACTAAAAGTGAACTGAAGACTAAATCACAGGGTTGCCACAGGTCAGAAAATGGTCAGGGAAAAAAGTTCTTCGAGGTCAGCGAAAAGTCAGGGAAAATCGAAATAATTTAACGCGACTGATTTAATACCATTGACGGCTGGAAGAAACATTTGGGGTCACTATGATCTCATCGTTATTTTTACGTTATGAAGGAAAAGATTCATTGAAAACTTATCGTCTTTCTGTACGAGTGAAAACGCGGAGGGCTGTAAGTTTACGCTAGAAGCCGCTACTAAATCCGACATTTTGTACATATTTGGTCAGGGAAATTGTATTTTTATCAGGGAAATGTATGGGAATTTTGATAAGCCATGTGGTAGCCATCAATGAAAGGATAACTAGAGAGATTGGCAATCGAGGAATGATTGTTGGACAAGGAATTTTCTTGGAAATCACACATTGACTTTCATCAGTCTGGTCTAACGAGCCGAGAGTGTGTGATATTTGATCCTGAATGGTACCGCGAGGAAACGGCATCGTTGCGAGGATGTCATTGTCATTGCCATAAAATCTCATGGTACTCTCGGGTGCCAGTCAAACCAGCAGAAACTCCCGTCTACTCTGTGAAAATCTCGGCGGGTTTGATTT